AAAAAAAAAAAAAAAAAAAAAAAGTCAGTATATAAAGGAGGGTTAAAGAGCATGACAGAATTTATCTGGGAGAGACAGAACTGTGAGAGCTGCTACAGTCAGAGAGGGCTCCCAGAATAGAAGGATCTTAAATTGGCCATGGTGGTGGGTGGGATTTGAATCTGCATGGAAAGTGAAGGGGAGAAGGGTGCCTTCTAGTGAGCAGAAAGATGTGAACCACAATGACCATTGCAGAGCATGTTTGTGGGCAACTGGTTGAATGTGTGGACTACTGCTAGATATGCTCTTGGTTCTCTATGATATTGTCTTTGTGTCTCAAGATCCTTTTACGTATTGTGAATTTAACACCTCCCATCAATATTTATCATTTATTTTTCTTGGGTTTTTTTGGTTACTTTTTATATCTTTGCCTCTCCCCAGCAAGGGTTAGAGGTCTGCCCCTCCCCTCCATATTTATCATCTCTTTTCTTTCTTATAGGGAAACATTTCAAACCTTTTTAAAGATAATGGAAGAACTGGGATTTCAGTGCAGTCATTTGTTAAGCAAAACGGAGATCATGGATTCCTTAAAGAATGAGAACTTCGACCTGGTGATAGTTGAAAGTTTTGACTATTGTCATTTTCTGATCGCTGAGAAGCTTGGCAAGCCATTTGTGTCCATTCTTACCACCTCATTTGGCAGATTGGACTTCGGGCTCCCAAGCCCCTTGTCTTATGTTCCAGTATACAATTCCTTGTTAACTGACCACATGGACTTCTGGGGCCGAGTGAAGAACTTTCTGGCTTTCTTTACTTTCTCCAGGAGGCAATGGCAAGTTCAGTCTATGTATGACAACACCATCAGGGAGCATTTCCCAGAAGGCTCGAGGCCAGTTCTGTCTCAACTCCTACTGAAAGCAGAGCTGTGGTTTGTTAACTCTGACTTTGCCTTTGACTTTGCCCGGCCCCTACTTCCCAACACCGTTTATGTTGGAGGCTTAATGGCCAAACCCACTAAACCAGTACCACAAGTAAGTACTCCCTTAGCACTAATTTGGATTTCATGCCAAGGCCTTCAGTACATGGTTGTTGGCTGCCCTGTGCCAGCCAGATCCTGAGACTGAAGCAGAGCCAGGTGAGGGAGGTCCCTAGGGCCTGCTGTGTGAGGAGGGTCTCCCCTTCAGGGCTGTGCTAGTACAGTGCTAGGCCCTGCATGCTCCTGAGATTGAGGCCTGCTCCTGTGGACTCCTCTGGCTGCCGTCTTGCCTCACCCTGGTCTTGGGCTTGGTATGATAAGTACTTTATGACAGCTATTCTTTTCATTTGCACTTTGCATGACCATGTGTACAATAAATATGTAGTGAATGCCCATTGCATGCAATAGTATTTAGGGAAATGTCTTACTTACTGACAGTGGTGTGAGACAGGGAATAAGTGCGGTGGGACTGTGTGGGACTGACTGACAGCCAGAATGGCAGGTGTCATACCCAATATCCCTTGAAACTGAAGTTGTCATCCCATTGTCCCCTCCCTGTAGAGCCCTGACTCTTGGCTCTGCCAAGACATTGTGATATGATTTCTCTGAGGTGGACTCAGGACACTGTAATTGTACTTTGGTCATCTGAATAGGAGTTTGTTTAGGAGCCACTGCTGTGGAAAGTTATAGAAATGAGGACAGCTATGATTAGTTGGCTGCCTGCTGCCGGTCAGCACTGAGTTGCCATTTTTAAGCAGTTATCATGTACAAAATCCTGCTCCTGTAGGTGTGATCTTCCCCAATTTTATAAATGAAGAAAGATGGAGGCTCAAGGGATATAAGTGATATTCCCAGCACCATGCATTCAATAGGCCCTGAGGGTCTGCGCTGGATCTTGAAGTCACCAAAGTGTCCACCCTCCTCCCCTGGCCTGGAATTGAGTGAGCAGGAGGAGCTGCAGGTGATCCATGGGGAGATGGGCTTCGCATTGGTGGCAGGAACTTAAAGGAATGAAGCTGGGAGGGAGGCCCAGGCAGGTAGAGCTGGGCCCACGTGAGGAGGAGGAAGTGGGAAGGCAATGAGTCTGGGCTCCCTCGGCAGTCTGGGTGAGCAGATTATTGCATGAATAAAACCAAGGGGGATTGAGTGGAGTGTTAGCTGTCAGGAGGGTGAGGCAGCCCATTGACTATAGAGTAAAGGCTGGAATTTCTGTGAGGATAATAATGGCAGTGAGGGTTGGAATATGTGTGAGACACACATGCTTTTTAAAAAAAATTTTTCCCATCTTAGGTTTAAGTCTGTTATCCAGCATGAGTTGGTTTTTGTGAGAGGTGAAAGGTGTGGGTCCTGTTTTAGCCTTCTACAGGTGGCTATCCAGTTTTCCCAGCACCATTTATTGAAGAGA